GTTGTATGCTGGGTTTTTTTCCAAGAAAGCAACCATAGTTTTCATTACCTTCTTACCAAGGTATGTAATCCATAAAAAGTTCGGAACTCTTCCAAGAGCATAATGTTATTTACTATTACAAATTTATTAATTTTTTAAAAAAATACTATACATAGGGAATAAAGGAAAAGAAAGAAAGAAATGTTTACTTAGTACTTGAGTACATTATAGAAGTGACACATTCTCAGTCACCTGGTTTCTAAATTTCAGGGTAAACTGATTCTCTTTTTTTCTTATGCTCAACAATTCTTAATTCCTTCAGAGAAGCAGTGTATTAGTCAGATTTTGCTGTAGTAATACCACATGACAAACAGCCCCAGATTCTCATGGGCTTACACTGACAAACATATATTTCTTGCTCATAGATCTGGGGTGGATTTGATATATGAACAAAAATTAAATAGAAAACCAAAATTGGTCTTTCATTCAAAAGTTGATGATCCTGAAGATGAAATGCAAAATCATGCCACCAGATAAACAAAATCAGACCAAACCCACGTGGTGCACCATCTTAGCCATCTCTCTGGAGTTGCTCTGTCAATTCTTCTCAAAAACTATTTTCTTTATCCTCTTGTTATGTTCTGGAACAGAAATTACATCTAAAGTAAAACTCAGCATCTTCACCATTGTTTACCTCTCTAACACCTGTATATCTACCAAATATGTTGTTCATGTTAACCTTATTAATATATTTACATCACAACCCAAATTTCAAAGTTATCTTCATGTCCTTCATGTTTTTCATTCCTCTAACTCAACAATATATAGAATTACCTTCACCATCTTTCACACATGGTTGATTCCCTCTCCTGACCCTTTTTAAAAATTATCAACACTCAGTTTTCCTCCACTGCCCAGTTCAGCTCAGTTCAGGTCATTTTTACCTCTTTTCTCATTTACCTCTCATTTTGGTCTCTTTCCTAGACTAATGAAATTGTTTCCTAACTGGTCCCTTTGTTTCCAGTCTTCCCTAATGTTTAGTCTATTATACTCATGATACAAGAGTTCCCACAGGAATCAAATTCCTTGGTTTTAATTTCAAGGTTCTTAAAACTCTGGTTCCACCTGAAGTTCAGAACCATTTAATGACCAATTGGACACCAAATTAAAAGTGGTCTCTGTCATACACTGGGTCACAAGCTAAATGAGAATTCAGCCATATGAAAATAAAACAAGTCTGAGAGAAATAGAATTCTTATCATGGTCTTGTGAATATACTGCATAGGACTTGGATTGATGAACAACTTTTTGTTTTAATGTGTATATATTCATTTTAATAGTTATGAATTATTTTTAATATGTTCTAAAAATGTGACTAGTCTATTAAAGTTATGGTTGCTTAGATAGTGTTAGTCAGAAAGAAGCTTAAGTAAGAACAATATTAGGTATAAATCAACTTACAGAAAAATAATTAATAATAATAAGGGTAAACAAATATGGAAAAATTGGGAAAGTGACAAGTTTTGCAACTGGTCTAGTAGTGACGGTGTGGGAGACATATGGGGAAAACAGGAGATAAACCTTGAAAGACAAATTGGGACACACTAAGGGTATTGTACTTTCATATCAAACTGATTTTAATCTGTTTCCCCCACAATGGAGGATCTCAAAAGGGGTAAGTGTACCAGGTTTTGCTGATTAATACAGTCCAAAAAAGCTATTGTCTTAAAACAACAATCAATTGTTATTTAGGTCCTAATTCTTAGGGTCAGTGGTTTAGGCTTGGTCTCTGCTGGGTGGTTCTTCTGGCCTTGGCTGAGCTTGTTCATCTACCTGTGACCAGTGGCTGCTCTGGCTGGGGGTAGGGTGGTCTAGGAGGGCATCCACTGGGGAATATTATCTCTATTCTCCTGGTCTCATCTTCCTGCAGAGCAGTGATACACTCACAGACACACAGACACACACACACGTGTATTATCGTCTTTATCTACTCATCCTAATATATGCTTAGGTTGTTTCCATATCTTGGCTATTGTGAATAATGTGGCAATGAACATGGGAATGCAGTTCATTTCCTTCAGCTATATATCCAGAAGTGAGATTGCTGAATCCCATGGTAGTTGTATTTTTAATTTTTGAAGAACCTCCATATTGTTTTCCATAGTGTCTGTGCCAGTTTACAGTCCCAACAGCAGTGTAGAAATGTTACCTTTTCTCCACATCCTCACCATCACCATCCTCACCATCACTTGTTATTTTTTGTTTTTTTTGATAAAAGCCATCCTAATAGGTATGACTTGTGGTTTTGACTCATATTTCCTTAAGGATTAGCGATGTTGAGCACATTTTCATGTACCTGTTGGATATTTGTATGTCTTCTTAGGAAAAATGTCTATTCTGTTAATCAAAAAAAAATTTTTTTTGCTATTGAGTTGTGTGAGTTCCTTATATATTTTGTGTATTAACCCCTTATCAAATACATGATTTACAAATATTTTCTCCCATTCTATAGGTTGGGTTTTCATTTTGTTGATTGTTTCCTTGCTGTGCAGAGCTTTTTAGTTTAATGTAGTCTCACCTGCTTATTTTTGCTAACTTTTCCTTCTTGATGGAGGAGCTGCAAAGTCACATTTTAAATGGTGTGGATATAAGGAGGAGTGAAAATTTGTGTTCAAACACAATATGCATATTTTAGGATGATTCATTCATTACAAACCATTAAATGCCAAAATACTATAGAATTAATGGCCATCAAGAGGGATCCAAGGCATACTCACCATTGAGAAGGTTAATATAATGATAGGTCAGGGAAAAATAATGTAAGACTGAGCTAGGGCAGTGGGGATGTAAAGGATGTTTGAGGTATTGTAAAAGGAGAATCCCAGAATTTGTCAGGGTGGTGTTATTAAGGGGTATATGGTCAGGATAGAAGCTGTGCTCCTGGACAACCATTGGAAGATGATGCCATTAGTCCAGATGATAGACAGGAGCAAAGGAGGCTTGGTTAGGGTCGATGGTAGGTGGAAGAGTTGAGATGCTCATGTGTTATCTATGTAGCTGTGTCCAGAAAGAAGTCTGAAATTTGGATCTGGAGTGCAGGACTGAAATCAAGAATGAAGATGTTAAATTTGGGGGTCATTAACATTTTGGTAAGAACTTGCATGCATAGGAGTCAATATGGTACAGAAACAGCATGTTTCTTGTACCCCCAGCCATGCTGTACTTTGTGCACAGTGGATGCCAAATTAATAATTGTCTAGCCATCAGCCAAAAGAAGTGCAGTCTCCTCACCTTCTTCAACACCCAGGGTCAGGCCATTCCATTTCTTGATGAGCTGATTGTAATGTAAGAAATTATAATAAAAGTCAAGTAGATGCAGAGCCTGATGTATTGAATTTTTTTTGAGCATCAGCTCTGGGTTCCTGAGCTCAGCTCTTTCCCTCATGAATCTTGAGAGTCGCCTTCTGAATGGGGTACTCCTGTCCACCTCACAGACGAAGGGTTTACAGGGTCTTAGCACTTCTGAACATTTTCTAGGTCATGGCACACATGGAACATGACGCTAGTTATCCTGACCACTGAGGGAAATGAAGGAGGCTTGAGGTTATGGGTCCGAAGACCAACCAATCTGCCCCAGTGGCTGAGGACATCAATATCTTGGCACACATGTTACAGGCATGTAGCACCACAGTGGGCCTCAGCCCACCAGTGGGGAAATTCTGGGTTCGATAAACTGCCCAGAGTAGCAGAGCTAATACAGAGCAAAACTATGATAAGAATTCAGTTTTGCTTGACTCTGAAGTTCAGATTCTTTCCACTACTTCATGCAATGACTCTGTCTGGGTTTTAGGATTGATAGAATATAGGAATGGTTTATCATTTGAAAGATAACTTGAGACTATAGGCAAAGATAATGATGTCCTTTGTTTTTAAATCCCTAAAGTCAGTTAAATATTATGGGATAAGCAAACAATAATGATATTTCTCTTTCTTCCAGTTTATATAGATATTCTAAAGTGGTAATTACTAAGATCACACATATTAAGGAAATGAGCCATTTATTCTCACTATACAGTGTATGGGCTTGTAGATATATCTTAATGGCCACCATATGTATTTTTATGTTATTTTATTTCTGAAATGTTTTCCATTTCAAAATGTCCATTAATTTCATTGAAATAAACAAATCTTGGTTTAAAGAAATGAGGTGAATTACATTATTATAAAACCAGGGGGTTTCCCTGGTGGCACAGTGGTTGAGAGTCCGCCTGCTGATGCAGGGGACACGGGTTCATGTCCCAGTCCAGGAAGATCCCACATGCCGCGGAGCAGCTGGGCCCGTGAGCCATGGCCGCTGAGCCTGCGCATCCGGAGACTGTGCTCTGCTATGGAAGAGGCCACAACAGTGAGAGGCCCGCGTACCACAAAAAACAAAACAAAACAAAACAAAACAAAAAAGCAGGGATTTTTGATAGTTTTGACTCTCTGGGTGACACATTGGACTCTTCTCCAAGGGAAACTCATAATGAGAAGCCTGTCTTAGGCACAGGCTGAGTCTGTACTGGGCACTGGATGGGGATGGCCACCCATGAGCCACATCCTTATGCCTCTGCCCTTAATACTTACCTCATTCTGTTGTGCCCTTACAGATATGCAGAGAAAGTATTCTTACTCTGCTTATAGTTACTTTCCTCTTTTTCTTAGAGAATGGTCATGATTCAATAGAACAAAAGAACGTGGCCTTAGACACACTTGGAACAGAAATTTGCATTTACTTTTTTGTATCTGTGTGATTTGGAGCAAGTGACATAACTTCTCTGACTTTCATCTGTAAAATGGGAAGAGGAATAACCACCTCCCCCTCATAGAGTTTCTGTGGGAATTAAATAAAGGTAATGGTTATAAAATACTTCCCTTAGCTCCTGGCTTACAGATACACTAGTGTGGTAACAAAGGTGATGACATGATGGAGGTGGTGATTGTAGAGGTGGTGACAACGGTGGTGGAGGTGATGGCTTGGGATGCTGGTGGGTGGTAGAGTTAGTGGGGGTAGTGATGATGACAAAAGTGGTGACAGTTGTGGAGGTGGCCATGGAAGTGTAGGTAGAGGTGGTGATGGAGAAGCTGATGGAGGAAGTCATGGTGGAGGTAGTAGTATTGGTAGTGGAAGTGGAGGTGTTGCTGGAGTTGGTGGAGGTTATAATGGAGATAATGGGGGTGGTAATGGTGGTGGTGGAGGCAGGGATAGAGATGGTGCTGGTAGAGGAAGTGGAGGTGGTTTGGGAGAAAATGATGTAGGTGGAGGAGGTGACAATATTGGAGTTCGTGGAAGCAGAGGTGGTAGTGGTGAAAGTGGAGGGAAACATTAATGGTGGAGGTGAGAGGAGGTAGTGGTAGTGGAATGTGTTTGAGCTAGTGGAAGTGATAGTAGTGGTGGTGGTGGTGGTGGTGATAAGGGGTATTCGTGAAGATGGAGGGGAGGTGGTGATGGAGACAATGGTGATGGTGGTGGTGGTAGGGTGGTGATGGAACTGGTGATGGTGGAGGTGGTGATAATAGTGGTGGAGGTGATGGTGGAAATGGAAATGGGGGTGGTAGTAGTAGAGGGGCTGTTGGAGCTGCTGATGATAATAGTAGAGGTAGAAATGAAGTTGGAGGTGGAGGTGATGACAGGGAAGATGGAGGTGGTGGTGGAAGTGGAAGTGACAGTGGGAAAGAGATGACAGTGATCACGCAGGTGGTCCTGGAGGAGGTATTGGTGGGATAGAGAAGGCAGAGGTGACAAAGCAGCATGGTGATATCTACAAGGAGCAGGGTAACTGGAACACGTGGCTAATCTTCTATCCTAAGAAACTGAGAATGAAGGATGGAGACTGTCTATCCTCAGGACAGCTTTGCTTTAACCAGGAGAGATTCAGTTGACACTGGGTGAACAAATAGTACCTCTTCCCAGTTAATCTTGCAAACTGGTATCATCTGAGATTCAAGACTAAATTCCTTTTACTTTCATGACCTGCTGCCACCCTCTGCATTTAATTTCCCATCCTTTAAATCCACTGTTGGTTGGATAGTGAACTCATGTGTATAGGTCACAGTAAACTCAAATCCCTCTTGTAGCCGCTTGTCGGCTTACCTGGCTCTTAACGCATGAATCCCTGTGGTAAGATGATTGATTACCTGAGCTCATGTGGTCCTTCTTTGGACCTTCCGCCATCGCTAAGGTGTGCCAGCTTGACCCTGTGTGGATGTGAACCATGTAATGTGTCTGGTCATTGTCCTCCCTGTATATGAACCCACAGAAAACCCAGCCTTGCAGCTCTGAGTCATGGCTCCTCGGTCCTTATGTTCTCTTTTGCTCTTAAAACTGTTGTTTCTTGAGCTGCCCGAGGCACTGATTTCTAGGTCAGTGATAAAATTCCACCCAGTTAAGCCACATATATCATTTCCTCCACCACTTTCCAAACAGCATTTCTTGGACTGCGCCAGCCAGCCGTGGGCTCTGTGGCCGGCATCAGCAGAGCCCACTCCTTTCTGGCAGCCTACTTCCTTTGCCAGTTCAGAAGGCCACGGCCGCATGGCCCCAGCACCATGATCTTGCATGAACACTGGGGACCTGCCAGGCTTCCCAGAGTCTCACACGGACAGTGTTTGTGCTTGCCTTTCATGTTGGCAGGTCTGAGAATTTCCACCGCTGTTGATCCACCTCACACAGTCTCGAAACACACTGGGACCTGTGTGTCTCCTCAGGGTGGGGATGTCTCTGGAAAACATTTCTGGTCCCAAACTGTGGGACGTGTGCCCTGCCAGGACCCAGGACCTTTTGGGAAGTGCCTGCTTTGTGCCAATTAAAAGTGTTTTATTGTTCAGAGCTGGGCTACTGGCTGAAGCTCTTCTTTCATCAGCCCCACTTTGTTAAGCATTATTGCACTCACTAATCTTCTCTCCTTGACAGCTCCTGGCCAACAGAATTACAAGTTCAAACTATGGAAACAAAATGCTTTTTATTTATTATACTCTTAAGATGTTTTCAATAAGACAGACAGCGTCTACTTTGCCAAGTGGGTGTTGCGACTTTCCAGAGGTTTGGCTAGTGAGCAGCCTGCCAGTGAAAACACATGCTGTCCTCCAGCCCTTCGGTGGGTGTCCTTCACCTCGGACGGAACCTCCTCCATTATCATGTTTGGCCTCCAGAGGAGACAGACAGAAATGCTTTGAACCAAGACTAGCAGTTCTGTAGAGTAATACTGTCGAAGATGATTTGTCTGGTCCATGCTTTGACTACTTCTGTCCTTCCCTTGCAAGATCATAGCAAGGGACTAATCATAGCAGCTAATGTTTATTGAGCATTTACCATGTGCCAGGCACTGGGCTGAATGCTTTATGCAGGTTATCACATTTAGCCCTCCAGCTATGGCAGGAGGCAGGTACTGGTCTTATCATTCTTCTTTTATAGATGAGGAACCAAGGCACAGAGAAGTTAAATGATTTCCCCAAGTCACACAGCTGGTAAGTGATGGGTTTGGGATTTGAATCTACTTAACCACTCCATCAGACTATCTCCTGGGTTTGGTGACTAAACACGAGAAAACAGGCAAACACGACACTAGTTAACTAGAAGTGAAGATTTGGTTAATGAATGGAAGGATATCTCTTGGCCTTTCAACCAAGCAAATATATTTTTTGGGAAATGAAAAGGGAGATTCTCTGCTCCCAACCTTAAGAAGACCTGCGAAAGCCCCCCTTTTGGCCACAATGCCTGCCGTGGCCACAGCTCCAGGCCTGCAGGCAGCCCAGATGACCCTCTTTCTGTCTGGAGGCAATGCCTCTTTGGTTGCCTGATTCTTCTGTTTGCTCTCCCCTGAAAGATTTACAGTCTGTTTCCATGAGGCTTTCCTCCTTTCTCCCTTTCATGCCTTGTATGTTTGGACTTGCCCAGTTTGGGGCAGGGGGTGAGCATCAGAGAAATCCACTTCCTGAATCACCTTAAAGGTGCTTCTTGGTGAGTTCCAAGGAGAAAGAGATTATTTCTAAAATCCTTAGGTTGGGGCAGCTGCAAGTGAATTGATTTATTCGCAAGCCCAAACAGGTGTCTTTACATTAGGTGATCAAGCACAGGAAGTTGCCTCTTGTGGTTTCAACCAGGTGAAGGGAAGGGAAGGGAGAGTTGGTGTGCAACAGACAGGCTTTCCCGCAACTAAATTCTTGTTGGATGGATTTGAAACAGAAAATTTCCACTGCTATCCAGGGAATGTATGTGAAATCGATTAGCATTTCTGGCACCACCAAGGACAAACTGGGCAACTGTATTCAGTTCGGAGACATTTTAGATCTTGCAACAGGATACCTGGGAAGCATCTCAGAGAACACTGATGCCTTTTAGAGACATTATCGGGCTGCCTGTGATGCTGAATCACCATTGGTATTCACAGCAAAAAGAGTGAGGCATTGTCATTAGCCCAGATCACCTTACAGAAGGGTATTATTCCTTCGTCCTAGGCATCCCCTAGACACTCACACACAGGAGAACTTCACCATTTGAGTCACAGAGTGGGACTTTGAAGTTGGGTGACCTCAATAATCTTGCATGAACCAGGAAAAGGTGGAGCTAGTCTCAAGATAAGACAAAATATCAAAAGTTTGCGAAAAACTAAGACACAAAGAAGCCAACTGAGAACGAGGTTTTATAATCTTCGAAAAATATAGTGTGTGTCTCTCCACATGGTAGCTAGAGAGTGTGTGGTTTGAAACAGTCTCTATGCTGTGTTTTTCCAAAACAGGTAAAAAAAAAAAAAAAAAGAGGTTTAAAAAGAAAAAGGAAGAAAGAAAGAAAAGAAAAAAAGAAGGAAGAAATCTCACACAGTAGCAGACTTGGGGCCACCTGAAACAGATGTACGTTTGTGGGAGTTGGCTCTGGCAGGAAGCCATCATGGGGAGGTAATAATTTGATAGAAATGTGGTTGTCTTTCCAAAGCTTCAATCCTCAGAATGCTGGCTGTCTTTACTTTCTCCCCCTTGAGAGCCAAGGAGAGGAAGGGGGTGGACCCCATGCTGTTCCAAGGTCATAGGACTTTCCTGGTTAGCTCTCTCATTAAGGAAATGTATTTCTCTGATTGACAAGGACATCAGAGTGGTTTAGCTCCATCTTCTCCACTGAACAGGGACACTGGTGCTTTGAATGAGAATTATAGAAGAATTCAAGTTGAAGGCCTAATCTCCTGGCATTCCCAAATCTGTGCCACCTGGGTAAGGAAGGCAATTTTGCATGAAGTGTTTTTTTCCCTAAGCTCCAATCACACCTCTTAAATGACACCTTTGCTTACTACCAGCCTGAGGCCGATGCTATAAGAAAATAAGAAAACACTAGCTTTCTGCTTTATGAGTCTCTGTGGTGTCTAATATTCACCACTGCCTTTCCCAGGACATTGCCCATAGTATGTGATCAGCAGATATTGCTTGGTTTGATGTGAATTAGATGACACATGATTCTTGGTCTCATAGATTTCTGGTCATACTTTTGGGAAGTTTTGTGATGTTCTTGCCTCCTATAAATTCAAAAGGTCCAGTGGATTGTGAGATAATGCACTGGAAAAGTACAGATTACTGTAGAGAAAGAAATATCCTTGAAAAAGTTCTTTTTAGCTTTTGGAGTTGGAAGAAGAGAACAATGGGTAAAAGGCTTTATGAAACTTAGATGTAGGACTCAAGTAAAATCTGAATTTCCTGTGTATGTGACCTTGCTAAAAAAAATTCAGGTGAGAAAATGGAGTGTCTCTATAATTAGGGAAAAAAGCATCAGAGCATGTATGTCTTCAATTCTTACTGTGGGTGAGACTTCATATTTTGATTGTAAGTGTTAGTAGATAAAACTGTGGCCTCTGCCAAGACCCTTGCTACTACAATGTCAGAGATTGAAATTGAAATATATTTGGTGAAAATCAAACTTGTTATCACTTACGGTTCTGACAGGGAGTAATGAAGGGGGGAGGTGATTAGATTTGATGGTTGAAAGGGAAAGGGAACCTAATGAAGGCCTTTAGGATTATTTTTTCCTTCCCTCCAGAGATTAGTGTCACTGGTACTTATTCTTTATGCATGGGAGACTGAGCAAATGACAGAAGTGCATGGAGGCTACAGTCTTAAAAGTGAGATTGGAGTCACCCCTTGGAGGCTGACGAGATACATATGGAGAGGGTTTGGCAAAAAGAAAGTACTTTTGAGTTTACTTTTTTTTATTTATTACCGGAGAGGTTCATTCGGATGAATCACCCATGAATTGAGATACTTATTTCCAGTGATTTGCAAATAATTTTCCAGTTTAAATAGAAAATTGGATTGTCAAATTAGAGTTGAACACATTCTAGATCCTCTGAAATTCTGAAAAAGAATTTTGGGTAGGCTAATCATCAGTACTGCCAACTATTCCAACAAGAAGCTAAAATGAGCTCCCAAATGTAAGGACCAAAATGTTGTCCTTCAGCAAACCCATTGTTAACAAATTTTCATTAAATCCATGATCTCTCAAGTTTTATTAGCTGTCTTTAGCAGTGTTATTTTCAAATAGTTTATTCAATTTGCTTTAAGTAGATCTAAGCATTAGAATTATGATGATTATTCAACCTGTATTCCCTTGGCAGTAGCCAATTTAACTATTGTGTTATGGTTTTCCCAGGGACCATAAAAATGTCCCAGATAGTCTAATATTTTTTCACTCACGCAGTCTCACACATGTGGAAGAGTCTGAATCCCACATCTGGAAGCAGCAGGGCA